AGTGTGTATGTGTATGTGTGTAGATAATTATATATATATATAATTATCTACACACATACACACTGTATATGGCAAAACCAAACGTGTGTGTGTGTGTGTGTGTGTATATATATATAATTATCTACACACATACACATACACACTGTGTGTGTGTGTATAGTGTGTGTGTGTGTGTGTGTGTGCGTATGGGTGAGTGATGTGTGTGTGTGTGTGCGTAGATATATATATATATATATACACACACACACACATATAAAATATTATCTACACACATACACACTGTATATGGCAACACCTAACGTTTGTGTGTGTGTGTGTGTGTATAATTATCTACACACATACACATACACTCTGTATGGAAAAACCAAACATTTGTGGAATATATTATATATGGAGAAATCTAGTATTGTTAGAACATATACATATAGGGAAATCAAGGAATTTTGGAATATATATATATATATATATATCTCCAAATGTTGTGGGTGTGTGTGTGTATGTATGTGTATATGTATGTGTATGTGTGTATATATATATATACACACACACATACATTCATATGGTAAACCAAGCGTTATATATAGCACAAGCAAGTATTTTGAGAACATATACATATGGGAAAATCAAGGAATTCTGGTGTGTATATATATCCAAGTATTTTTGGGTTATAGGATATATGTGTGTGTGTGTGTGTGTGTGTGTGTGTGTGTGTGCATATATATATAGGAAAGAGAGAATAATCAATTAACTGGCACCCATAGGGGGTTGATGGATTTCAGATAAATGTTCTTTCTGGTTGTTTGAGAGTGACTATTCAAAACATGCTTGGGTTATTGTAGGTTTTTATCAGGCTATATGGCCATGGTCTAGAAACATTCTCTCCTGACATTTCGCCTGCATCTATGGCAAGCATCCTCAGAGGTAGGGAGGTCTGTTGGAACTAGGAAAATGGGTTTATATATCTGTGGAATGACCAGGGTGGGACAAAGGACTCTTGTCTGCTGGAGCTAGGTGTGAATGTTTCAACTGACCACCTTGATTAGCATTTGATGGCCTGGCAGTGCCTGGGGCAGCTTTTGTTGAGAGGTGATTAGATGTGCCTGATTGTTTCTCCTCTGTATTGTCAAAGGCTTTCATGGCCGGAATCACTAAGTTGTTGTAGGGTTTTTTTTGGGCTACATGGCCATGGTCTAGAGGCATTCTCTCCTGACGTTTTGCCTGCATCTATGGCAAGCATCCTCAGAGGTAGTGAGGTCTGTTGGAACTAGGAAAATGGGTTTATATATCTGTGGAATGACCAGGGTGGGTCAAAGAACTCTTGTCTGTTGGAGCTAGGTGTGAATGTTTCAACTGACCACCTTGATTAGCATTTGATGGCCTGGCAGTGCCTGGGGCAATCTTTTGTTGAGAGGTGATTAGATGTCCTTTTTTTCGGGCTATATGGCCATGTTCTAGAGGCATTCTCTCCTGACGTTTCGCCTGCATCTATGGCAAGCATCCTCAGAGATAGTGAGGTCTGTTGGAACTAGGAAAATGGGTTTATATATCTGTGGAATGACCAGGGTGGGACAAAGAACTCTTGTCTGTTGGAGCTAGGTGTGAATGTTTCAGCTGACCACCTTGATTAGCATTTGATGGCCTGGCAGTGCCTGGGGCAATCTTTTGTTGAGAGGTGATTAGATGTCCTTGTTTGTTTCCTCTCTGTTGTTGTGCTGTTGTAATTTTAGAGGTTTTTTAAATACTGGGAGCCAGATTTTGTTCATTTTCATGGTTTCCTCCTTTCTGTTGAACTTGTCCACATGCTTCTTGTGGATTTCAATGGCTTCTCTGCGTAGTCTGACGTGGTGGTTGTGAGAGTGGCCCAGCATTTCTGTGTTAAACAGGCTTAACTAACACCCCCTCCTATAAGCTCTGAATTGGCAATATTAATATTGAAATACAGTCCTTTAAAATCAAATTGCGACAAGCTTAACTTGATGCAACCCAACTGTACTGCATTATAAAAACTGCATTGTGGATGGCCATCTGTTGGGAAGGCTTTGGTTGTTCTTTTCCAGCATAATGGCAGAATGAATGGGGTGAGACTAGATAGCCTCTGGAGGTCCCTTCCAATTCTGTGACTCTTTGATTCAGTTCTCATTGACTTCGTAGTAATGTTGGTGGCACTCTGCACATGGTTGGGTATCCTGCTCAGTTTTGTCCCTCCTGTTGTGTCCTGTGAGTTGTGAAGAGTGTGTATTTGTGTGTGTGGTGTGTGTGTTTTTTTTGGAGGGGGGCAGCATTGAAACAGGAGGAAAGACCCAGATCCAGGCCGTCCCCAAGTTACAAACATCAAATGATTCCTAGTTACGAACAATGGGTCTGAGACTTCAGGAAGTGAGAGGAATGACTCCTAGTTACAAACAAATGACTCCTAGTTACGAACAATGGGTCTGAGACTTCAGGAAGTGAGAGGAATGACTCCTAGTTACAAACAAATGACTCCTAGTTACGAACAATGGGTCTGAGACTTCAGGAAGTGAGAGGAATCTTATGTTATATATTATTAGTATTATTACATTATTATTAATGGATAGAATTAGTATTATTAGAGAATGGTGAAAGGGAGGAGAAGAAAGTCTCCCTGGTTGGGTGGAAGATATTTTGGGGAGGGGGGGGGTGATAGATGTGTGAGAAAAGGGAGGTGCCCCTTTTCTTGGGGAGGGGAGGGGGTCTTCGAGGGGGTCCCTCCAATGCCTCCTTCCTAGATATTGGGGGGGGGGGTGATAGATGTGATAGAGAAGGGAGGGGAGCCCTTCTTCTTGGGGGGGGGGGGGGGGGGTCTTTGAGGGGGTCCCTCCAATGCCTCCTTCCTAGATATTGGGGGGGGGGGTGATCGATGTGAGAGAGAAGGGAGGGGAGCCCTTCTTCTTGGGGGGGGGGCAGGGGGTCTTTGAGGGGGTCCCTCCAATGCCTCCACTCTCTCTCCCCCTAGATATTGGGGGGGGAAGTGATAGATGTGTGAGAGAGAAGGGAGGGGGCCCTTCTGGGGGGGACGGGGGTCTTCGAGGGGGTCCCTCCAACGCCTCTTCTCTCCCTCCCTAGATATTGGGGGGGGGGTGATAGATGTGATAGAGAAGGGAGGGGAGCCCTTCTTCTTGGGGGGGGAGGGGGTCTTCGAGGGGGTCCCTCCAATGCCTCCTTCCTAGATATTGGGGGGGGGGGTGATAGATGTGATAGAGAAGGGAGGGGAGCCCTTCTTCTTGGGGGGGGGAGGGGGTCTTCGAGGGGGTCCCTCCAATGCCTCCTCTCTCTCTCCCCCTAGATATTGGGGGGGGGGGAAAGTGATAGATGTGTGAGAGAGAAGGGAGGGGGCCCTTGGAAACCCGGTGTCTTCGTGGGGGTCCCTCCAATACCTCTTCTCTCCCTCCCTAGATATTTGGGGGAGGGGGAGATAGATGTGAGAGAGAACAGAGGGGCCCTTCTTCTTGGGGGGGCAGGGCTTCGAGGGGGTCCCTCCAATGCCTCCTTCCTAGATATTGGGGGGGGTGATAGATGTGATAGAGAAGGGAGGGGAGCCCTTCTTCTTGGGGGGAGGGGGGGTCTTCCAGGGGTTCCCTCCAATGCCTCCTCCCTCCCTCCCTAGATTTGGGGGGGGGGGGTGATAGACCTGAGAGAGAAGGGAGGGGGCCCTTCTTGGGGGGGGGAGGGGGTCTTCGAGGGGGTCCCTCCAATGCCTCCTTCCTAGATATTGGGGGGGGGGGGATAGATGTGATAGAGAAGGGAGGGGAGCCCTTCTTCTTGGGGGGGCAGGGGGTCTTCGAGGGGGTCCCTCCAATGCCTCCTTCCTAGATATTGGGGGGGGGGGATAGATGTGATAGAGAAGGGAGGGGAGCCCTTCTTCTTGGGGGGGGGGGGGGTCTTCGAGGGGGTCCCTCCAATGCCTCCTTCCTAGATATTGGGGAGGGGGGTGATAGATGTGATAGAGAAGGGAGGGGAGCCCTTCTTCTTGGGGGGAGGGGGTCTTCGAGGGGGTCCCTCCAATGCCTCCTTCCTAGATATTGGGGAGGGGGGTGATAGATGTGATAGAGAAGGGAGGGGAGCCCTTCTTCTTGGGGGGGGGAGGGGGTCTTCGAGGGGGTCCCTCCAATGCCTCCTTCCTAGATATTGGGGGGGGGGTGATAGATGTGATAGAGAAGGGAGGGGAGCCCTTCTTCTTGGGGGGGGGGGAGGGGGTCTTCGAGGGGGTCCCTCCAATGCCTCCTTCCTAGATATTGGGGGGGGGGTGATAGATGTGATAGAGAAGGGAGGGGAGCCCTTCTTCTTGGGGGGGGGCAGGGGGTCTTCGAGGGGGTCCCTCCAATGCCTCCTTCCTAGATATTGGGGGGGGTGATAGATGTGATAGAGAAGGGAGGGGAGCCCTTCTTCTTGGGGGGGGAGGGGGTCTTCGAGGGGGTCCCTCCAATGCCTCCTTCCTAGATATTGGGGGGGGGGGGATAGAGAAGGGAGGGGAGCCCTTCTTCTTGGGGGGGGGGGGGTCTTCGAGGGGGTCCCTCCAACGCCTCCTCCCTCTTCTACCAGCTGGGTCTCCCCCCCTCTCTCTCTGTAGTGGAGGGGGGTCTCATCCCTCCCTCCCTGCCTGCCTCCCTCCCTCCCTCCCTCCCTCCTGGGGGAGTTTCCCGGGGGAAAGGGGTTGGGCGGAGGAAGGAAGGAAGGAAGGGGTGGAGACACCGGCTGCGCTCCTGCCTGGCACCGGCGCCTGCCTCTCTCTCTCTCTCTCTCTCTCTCTCTCCCTCTCTCCTTCCTTCTCTTTCTTTTGGGGAGGGGTCTCCTCCTGAGCCCCCCTCCCGCCCCCTCCCCTCCGCTAACTGGCCCGATGGCGGGGCGGGAGGGGGGTCGGGGGCGCCCGGGGGGGGGTGGGGGGAGGGGAGGGGGATGTCTGGGCCGGAGGGGAGCCCCCCCCTCGGGGGAAGCCCCCCTCCCGCTCCCCCCCCGACGGTGACGTATGTCTTCGTTTTCAGCCCTTCCTCTCCGTCTCCGTCTCCGTCTTCCTCGGGGCGGGGCCCCCTGGGGGAGGCGCCCCCTTTCTCGGGGGCTGGGGGCCCCTCTCCCGCCCCCTCCTCCTCGCCCCTCCCGGCCCCCCGGGGCCCCAAGCGGAAGCTCTACAGCGCCGTCCCCGGGAGGCGCTTCATCGCCGTCAAGAGCCACGCGCCCGCCGGGCCCGGAGAGATCCAGCTCAACCGAGGGGAAGCCGTCAAAGGTAAGAGGACCCCGGGGGGGGGGGGGAGGGGGAGGCAAAGGAAGACCCTCCGCTCCCTGCAGGGCTTCCAAAGGGGAGAACACAGGGGAAGGGGCGCGCTTTCTCTCTCTCTCTCTCTCTCTTTGGGTGAAGGACCCTCCCTCCCGCTCTGCACCCAAACAGCTATGAAGAAAGTGGGGAGGGGGCTTCATTGGGTTCTGGGATTACTTAATAGTAACTTGGATACTGATGGTGATGATTGAAAAGACCCTCCACTCGTTGGGGGGCTCAGAAGGGGAGACAGGAAGGGAGTCTCTCTGAGGGAAAAAGACCCTCCCTCTCTGCACCCAGACAGCTGGGGTTTTATTAGGTTCCAGAGTTTATTAATAGTAACTTTAATAGTCGTAGTAGTAATAACAACAACAACAACACTCTGCACAGTGGAGGGCTTGAAAGGGGAGCGAGGAGGGGTCTCTCTTTGGGTGAAGGACCCTCCCTCCTGCTCTGCACCCAAAAATCCATGGAAGGGGCTCTTCAGGAAGTCGTGGGGTTCCTTAATAGTAACTTTAATCATCCTCATCACCACCACCATCATTTCAAAGACCCTCCACTCATTGGAGGGCTCAAAATGGGGAGAGGAAGGGTCTCTCTCTGGAGGAAAGGACCCTCCCTCTCTACACCCAGGCAGCTGGGGTTTTATTAGGTTCTGGGGTTTATTAATAGTAACTTTCGTCATAGTAGTAATAACAATAGTAATAATAAAGACTCTTCACTCATTTGGGGTCGGTTGAAAGGGGAAAGAGGAGGGGTCTCTCTTTGGGGAGAGGGTCCTCTCGCTCTGCACCCAAACAGCCATGGAAGGGTCTCCTCAGGAGGTCCTGGGGTTAGTTTATAGTAACTTTAATGATTGAAAAGACCCTCTGCTTATTGGGGGGGCTCCGAAGGGGGGAGAGGAAGAGGAGGGGTCTCTCTTTGGGGGACTCAGAAGGGGAAAGACCCTCCCTCTTTGCACCCAAACAGCTGTGAAGGGGGGCTTCAGAAGGTTCTGGGGTTTGTGAGTGGTAACTTTAATCATCATCACCATCATTTGAAAGACCCTCTGCTTGTTGGGGGACTCAGAAGGGGAAGAGGAAGTGCCCCCTCCCCAAATGAGGTGGGTGGGGGTCTCCAAAGAGGGGCAGGGCCTGAGGAGTGGGCATTTGGGACACAGGAGTCGGGGTCTGCATGAAGGATTGGTTGCATTTCCATCATAGAATTGGGGGGGGGGCATAAAAGGGGAAACCCAGACCTGTCCCAGAACTTTTGCAAAGTTTGCAAAGTAACTCATAAAAAGATGACACCCCCTGCAAGCGGCTGAGGGGGAAAAGGAAGGGACCCGAGGCTGTTAGGAATTGTGGGAGTTGGAGTCCAAAACACCTGGAGGGAGGGCCCAAGTTTGCCCAGGCCTGTGATAATGTACTGAAAAGGCTTTTGAGTTTCCTTGTTGGAAATAAAACCAGGTGTAAATAAACATAACAACAACAAAAAACATAACACACAACAACAGTAATAGTTTTTGATGGTCTTTTGCCTTCTGAAGCCTCGCCAAGCTTGCTCACCGAGCTTGCAGCTCCCATTATCCCCTAGCATTGAGTCATGGCAGCTCAAGTGGTACCAAACTGTGCTAATTCTTTCGTATAGACGTGCCCTGGGAGGCTGCAAAGGGCAGAAAAGTTAGCAAGCTCAAAAAAGCTCTCTTACTGGGCCGCCAAATCCAGGGGATTTGGGGAGCTGTGGCACAAAAAAGTAACTTTTCCAACATTGGTAGCTTCTGAAAGTTCACCCAGGTTGAGTCTCTCTTCTCCAAAATGCCTGGAACTAGAAGAGTTTGGGAGTTTTTCACATCTTGGAATAGCTTTGTATGCATATATCTGCACACTGAGATACCCTGGAGAGGCGACCCAAGTCTAAGCATGATATTGTGTTTCATCGGCATCTTATGCACATAGTTTGAAGGCCGCATTATGCACAATATTCTTAATAATGTGATGCATGAAACCAAGTATGGATCCAGTGGACCTTCAGCCATTCAGGTGGGCCATTCTGGAGTATTTCTGATTTTGGAACATGGGCATTTGCATATATATATATGCAAACCCTAGAGTTGGAAGAGACCTCCTGGGCCATCCAGTCCAACCCCATTCTGCCAAGAAACAGGAATATTGCATTCAAATCACCCCTGACAGATGGCCATCCAGCCTCTGTTTCAAAGCTTCCAAAGAAGGAGCCTCCACCAAACTCCCTCCAGGGCAGAGAGTTCCACTGCTGAACGGCTCTCACAGTCAGGAAGTTCTTCCTAATGTTCAGATGGAATCTCCTCTCTTGCAGTTTGAAGCCATTGTTCCCTTGCGTCCTAGTCTCCAAGGAAGCAGAAAACAAGCTTGCTCCCTCCTCCTCCCTGTGACTTCCTCTCACATATTGATACATGGCCCTCATCATATCTCCTCTCCGCCTTCTCTTCTTCAGGCTAAACATGCCCAGCTCCTTAAGCCACTCCTCATAGGGCTTGTTCTCCAGACCCTTGATCATTTGAGTCGCCCTCCTCCAGACACATTCCACACTCCTCTGGACATCTTATTTTTCAATAATATCATGCGCAAAACTAAGTTTTGCACATTGAAAGGGATGTTGCACACAGTATTTGTGCACATTGAACGCTTGCAAAGCAAAGGCGCCACTCTCTCTCTGCCACCCATTTGGATTTTGGCATACCTGTACAGACATTGCAACTGCACACATGCAGATGAGACCCAAATCCGAACATGAAAACACATTTTGATGTCCTGGACATCTTATTTTTCAATAATATTTTATGCTGTATTATGTTGCCTGGACTTGGCCCCATGTAAGCCACTCCGAGTCTCCATCGGGGAGTTGGTGGCGGGGTAGAAATAAAGTTTATTATTATATTATTATAATATCGTGCGCAAAACCAAGTTTTTCACATTGAAGGGGATGTTGCACACAGCATTAGTGCACATTGAACGCTTGCAAAGGAAAGGCGCCACTCTCTCTCTCTCTCTCTCTCTCTCTGCCACCCATTTTGGAGTATTTTGGATTTTGGAATACCTGTACACACATTGCAATTGTATATATGCAGATGAGACCTGAGAACATGAAAATATGTTTTGATGCCCTGGACATCTTATTTTTCAATAATATCATGCGCAAAACCAAGTTTTGCACATTGAAGGGGATGTTGCACACAGTATTTGTGCGCATTGAACGCTTGCAAAGCAAAGGCGCCACTCTCTTTATTTTGGAATACCTGAAACTATCTTTGGAGCTACCTTGCAAAATATGTTTTATTTGCATAACCTGAAGTGAGTTCAATGCCCAATATTTTGTTAACAGTTTGGTGCATGAAGCTATGGTTGTGCGCACTGAATGCAAAGCAAAAGCGGCACCACCTCGGCCACTGAAAGGGATGCTTTGGCATTTGGCAACCCCAGGAAAGCCATGCCCAGCCTCTCCAGCTTGGCTCTGTTTCTTTCCATTTGCAATGCGCCTGCCAGGGGTTTGTGCTAAGGCCGGCCTGGCGCGAGGGGCTTCCTTCCTCACAAAGGGCCCTTTGAGCATGGCCTGCCTCTTTAAGGCAACCCTGGCAGCCAGAAGGATCGCAGCCAGAGGCCTTTTGGACCCTGAAGTCCCCCTTCTGCTCGAAGCCTCCCTGACAGATGGCCTGTTCCTTGAGTGGATCCAAAAAGGGAAGGCCCCTTGTGCCAGGCCTCCCTCCAATTGGCAGAAGCAAAGGAGGAGGAGGGAGAGAGATATTGGGTCCGTCCAGCAGGAAAGAGGGGCGCGAGGCCAGACTCCTGCGGGTCGGCACCCCATTATATAGGGTCATGGCAGAAAAAAAAGGAAATGCAAAGAGACAGAATGGGGGGCGATGATGCCTGGCTGGAGAGCAGTACATGGGAGTTGTAGTCCAAAACACCTGGAGGGCCAGCGTTCATCTGGTCATGTGTGCTATATAGTTATGCATAAAAATCAATAATAATAATGTATTGTCGAAGGCTTTCATGGCTGGAATCACTAGGTTCTTGTGGGTTTTTTGGGGCTATATGGCCATGTTCTAGAGGCATTTTCTCCTGACGTTTCGCCTGCATCTATGGCAAGCATCCTCAGAGGTAGTGAGGTCTGTTGGAATTAGGACAAAGGGTTTATATATCTGTGGAATGGCTGGGGTGGAATGACTTATTTGAGAACACAGAAATGCTGGACCACTCCAACAACCACCATGTCAGACTACACAGAGAAGCCACAAGAAGCAGGTGGACAATTTCAACAGAAAGGAGGAAACCATGAAGATGAACAAAATCTGGCTACCAGTATTAAAAAACTCTAAAATTACAACAGCAAAACAGCAGAGAAGAAACAACCAGGCACATCTAATCACCTCTCAACAAAAGATTGCCCCAGGCACTGCCAAACCATCAAATGCTAATCATGGTGGTCAGTTGAAACGTTCCCACCTAGCTCCAACAGACAAGAGACCTTTGTCCCACCCTGGTCATTCCACAGATATATAAACCCCTTTCCCTAGTTCCAACAGACCTCACAACCTCTGAAGATGCTTGCCATAGATGCAGGCGAAACGTCAGGAGAGAATGCCTCTAGAACATGGCCATACAGCCTGAAAAAACTCACAAGAACCTAATAATAATAATAATAATAATAATAATAATAATAATAATAATAATAATGTAGTTAGTGCTTTGCTAGTTGCCAGAGGAATTAGGGGGGAAGTGTGCACATGATATTTTGAACATGAACATTGAACAGAGAAGCCACTGAAATCCACAAGAAGCATGTGGACAATTTCAACATAAAGGATGAAACCATGAAAATGAACAAAATCTGGCTCCCAGTATGAAAAAACAAAAATTACAACAGCACAACAACAGAGAGGAAACAATCAGGGACATCTAATCACCTCTCAACAAAAGTTTACTCCAGGCACTGCCAGGCCATCAAATGCT